AGTGGTCCACAGAGAGCTTTGAGTCCAGTCTGGCCATGCCAGAGGCTGAAACCTGAGCCCAGCCTGCACCCCAGGGGTTGCTGTCTGCAGAGGTTGGCAGTGGTGACACTGCAGTCCCCTCTATGTCATGGAGCTGGAGCCTGTCTTTGGCAGCCCCCAGCCCCATCCCAAAGTGCAGCAGCCCGTGGGGAATGGTGTCCCCCCATCGTGGCCAGGAGGAGCCAGCAGCCCCCACAGTGAGCCCCTGGGGCTGCACAGGGGTTTGTTGGCTGTGCAGGAAGAACCTTTGTTTTTAGCCCTCAATCAAACACTCATGGACAGGCCCTGTGTGTGTGGCACTCGGATTATTATCATCTTGAAGGAATAAAATGCAGCACGGGGGCTTTTGGGATTCAACACGATGCTTCCAGGGCTCCAGATACTCCAGTGCTGATGCTGAAAACTGGGAAGGCATTCCCTCCAGCGAGACAGCCATTACATCACACAGGACCCGTGTGAGGGAACAATGATGTACAGCTGGCCTTGGGGCACTCTTTGCAGCTCGATTGGCCTCCCTGGCAGAAGAATAACCGAGAGTTTATTGCCTCTCTTCCAGTGATCTTTACTCCCAGCTGTTTTCTCAGGGAGGCCTGGATCCCCATACCTCATCTGAAGAGCCACGAGCTGCTGGTGAGGCACTGGTGAGGCCCTGAGTTGGTTCCTGGGCACTGAGGCGCTGGTTCCTGTGACAGGGCTCGGCTCTCACAGGGGAAATCCTGCCCCACCTCTGTCCAAAGCAGAGCATGATGTCTGGGACCTCTTTTTCCCTCTTCCTGCAGGTGCACTGAGCTCCTGGAGCAGCACCAGCACCTTCAGCCTCAGCACCCAACCATCCCAAATGGAGAGCATCCATGTACTCACTCCTTCACACCACATCCCCTTCCCCAGCACCAAACACCCAGCGCACCTGCGTCTCAATGCTGCACCTGGGCAAAGCCCCTGCAAGGGGTCCAAGAGCCCATTTCTGACATAAATCCCACCTGCCTGGGCAGGAGAAAGAGAAAAAGAGCCCCTTCATGCCAAAAGTTGGTGATTCCTAGCTCCTGGTGCTGTTTACAGAGGGCAAAGGTGAGGTGGTGGCAGGTGATTTTTTGCCCCTTTCCCTGGCCCTGCTGCAAACAGCCTGATTGCTTCGATTGCTACAATTCCTCTGTCATTAAAATGTAAATGAAAACAGACACAAAAACAATCTGAATTTCCAGCCGAGTTGCTCTTGCTTAATATTCTACCCCGAAGGGGGATGTGCGGAAGCAACAACATTTCAAAGGGAATCATTAAAGAAGGGAGGCTCAAACTGCGTTTCCATCAGATACCACGGCAGGGCCCGGCACTCGGGGTCCCGCCCAGCCCAACGCCGCTGGAAAGGACGAGCAGGAAACGAGTCCGGGAAAACGAAGCTCCAAGGTGAGGAGGATGCTCACACCGAGCCGGGCTGTGCTGCTCACACCGTTCCGGAGTGAGGAGGATGCTCACACTGAGCTGGGCTGTGATGCTCCCATCCCAGCGTGGTCCAGCTCTGGCTGTGGTGCTCCAGGTTCGTATTTCCAGCTGCAGTGATCAGGCTGGGATGATGCCCCAGATTTTAACACATTCCAAGGTTTTAGAAATACCCTGGAAGGGCATCAAGGTTTGCAATGGGTCCTGACACCTCAGCAGTGCAAGGTAGGGGGAAGATCCTGGTATTCCAAATCCTGCCTCGCACCTTGTCCACCCCGAGCTCTTGGCACTGGTGCTGCTCTGCTCTGTTTCAAGCAGAAATTTCTTCTGTACTTATTCTGCCAGTGTGAGGCAGTTAAAATGAAATATAAAACATCAGGGAGTGAGAATAGCCTGAAAAATCCTGTGAATGGTGGTTCTGTCCCAGTGGATGCTGCTGGAACAGGAGGGATGCACCAAGGCTCAGGGCCACACGTGAACTCCCAGGATTTGCCTCCAACCCTCCACTTCCCACTGGTCATGGCCACTGCAGGAAAAAGGAGCTTGGATGGACAAGGAGGAGCTCTCTGAGGAGAGACTGGAGCAGCAGGACAGAGCTGCCCTGCTCCTCACCACCCTCCTGGACCTCCCAGACAGGGGCAGGTGCTCCCAGCACGGTGGCACATATGGATCCTATAAGGGCTGAGCTCATCTCTCCGGGCAGCCTCACTCCTCTGTGCCCCAGGGAGCAGCCTGGGAGGGATGGTGACAGTGGGACACGGGGTGCCCAGGGGGTGGGACCCCTCACCACACTGGGTGTGACATCTGGGGTGAAGGGAGCTGTGTTCACCTTCCCAGCTGAGAGCAAGGAAAGCCCTTTTCCCACTGCAAACCAAACATGTGGGATCTGGAAGTCTTTGAGACACAATAAACAAGGGATCCTGGGGTGCTTTAAGTGTGTCCCCGTCTGGATCTCTGGATAATGGCCTGAGGTGATTAATTTTCTTTTGTACTTTCACTGCATCAGTTATCACATCATTCTATTTTATTTTTAAAGACTTTTTTTTAAGCCCACAAAACACTGGAAAGGGTTAGAGTGGATTCCAATTACAAGGTAAAATATTTCCCTCCAAAGCTTCCTAAATACTCGCTTTTGGTTTGATGCCATTATTTTAACTTTCAAAGCAAGGCAACGTTTGCCAAACCCTGCTTTGTGCAGTAAAACTGGCCCAGCGTCACAGGGATTTGATATAATAGTAATAATAAACTTTCAGAGGAGGCCTTAAAACCAGAAGGGTGGTGGGTCAGGCACGGGAATTCAGACTTGGAAGCCGTGGGGTCCCCATAGCTCAGATCCCCCATGCTGGGGGGAGCCCCAAGGTGCTCCAGGTTTCTGCTTGGACCAGTGGCTGGCTCCAGATCCTGCTGATGGCATTCCCACCGACCTGGGGGTGTTTGGGACTCCTGAGAGCCAAGTTAATCCCTCTGTGAGGTGAGAATTCAGCCCCTTTGTGGATGTTTGGCAATCCCTGAGGATGGGGAAATCCCTGGCATGGAGTCCTGGGTCAGATCCCTGTCCCAGCCCGTGGCACCCATCCCACCTGAACTGCACCCACAAGTGTCAGGTTGTCCTGGGGGTGGGACTCTTCCCCCTCCAAGCTGGCCTGGGCTCAACCCTGCAGCATTTTGTGTCTTTATTGGTTTTCCCCTCCGCAATTGGTCGGGTTTTTAATTAATTCCCAAATCTCATTTGGGGCACGGGAGCAGGGGGTGGAAAAGCTCTGTCTGAAGTTGATTTTGCAAATCAGTTCTGGCCATCTCCAGCCAGGTCCTGGGGCAGGAGCATCAGGCTCCCAATAACCAGGGAGGAAGCCTCTTGTTGCCAGAGCATATCCACCTCTTTGATGTGCTCCCACAGTTATTCTTTCATTTCTTGAGCAAATAATCTGGATTTTCACAATATTTACCTTGGAAATAATTATTTGTGTAAAGCATTTGACCAAGACAAACAGAGAATCTCTCCGTCTCGCTGCGGGGCTGGGAGGGCTCATGTTCCCCCAAAGCTGAGGGAGCACGGGCTCCATGGAAAGTGGTGAGAAATGGGCTCAGAGAGGAGCACCCCACATCCTGTGGAACCCCCGAGGGTTTGGATAAATCTCCCAGCACGGATGAGGATGGAAAATTGTGGCCACTCCGCCCTTCGTGCCTTGCTGTGTGTGTACATGGATCCCTGAATGGCATCCCTGGATTCCCAGAGACTCAGAGGCTGGAAAAGAGAAGCAGGAAAGGGTGGGGGGAAAGGTGAGAGAGGTTCAAAGGGCTGCTCCAGCCTCGGGTTTTCATCTCTGGTTAATCTCTCGGAAGCCTGAGGCAAAGTCACCTTTGGGTCACCACTCAGGTGTTGTTATCTGCCACCCCATCACCCCCATCACCCGGAGCTGCCCCCGGCCTCCCCAGCAGCAGGGCCGGAGGCAGGGTGCCGGGAATGCGGGAATCTGGGAATGCGGGAATCTGGGAATGCGGGAATCTGGGAATGTGAGAATTCGGGAATGCGGGAATCTGGGAATGCGGGAATCTGGGAATGTGAGAATTCGGGAATGTGAGAATTCGGGAATGCGGGAATCTGGGAATGCGGGAATCTGGGAATGCAGGAATCCGGGAATGTGAGAATTCGGGAATCCGGGAATCTGGGAATCCGGGGATCCGGGAATTCAGGAATGCGGGAATCTGGGAATCAGGGAATGCAGGAATGCGGGAATCTGGGAATCCGGGGATCCAGGAATCTGGGAATGCGGGAATTCAGGGATCTGGGCATGCGGGAATGCGGGAATCTGGGAATCCGGGAATTCGGGAATCTGGGAATGCGGGAATGCGGGAATCTGGCAATCCGGGAATCTGGGAATATGGTAATCCGGGAATCTGGGAATTTGGGAATCCGGGAATTTGGGAATGCGGGAATCCAGGAATCCGGGACTCCGGTCCCCCCGGTTCCCCTGGGGCCGAAGGTGAATCCTGCACTCAGCCTGCAGCCCAGCTGCCCCGCGGGAGCGAGGGAGCAGCAGCACACACCGCTGGTTGAAAACACCTGGGAAAACTGAGCCTGGAGGAACGGCCAGCGCTGGCACAGCGCTGCTGGCCCAGCAGGGCAGCAAGGCCAGGGAGGCAGGGATGGGAGGAGGGTGCCAACAGCTGTGCCCTCCACCTGCCATTCACCCACAGTCCCGCCTGGACAAACATGTATATTTATATTTGTATTTTCTATTTCTATTTCTATTTCTATTTCTATTTCTATTTCTATTTCTATTTCTATTTATTTTTATTTTTATTTTTATTTTTATTTTTATTTTTATTTTTATTCATTTATAGTTATAGTTATAATTAGTTATAGTTATAGTTATAGTTATAGTTATAGTTATAGTTATAGTTAGTTATAGTTATAGATAGTTATAGTTATGCATGCTCCAGCCCCCGTGGTGAGCACAGAGTGGCTGCTCCCAGCCCGGCAGCCTGGGTTAGGGAAAGAAAGGAACAAATCCAGCTGGGGCTCGGCTCCTTCAGCTCCAAGGCTTTTATTAAGGTGTTAACAGGTCTGGGATACGACAGAGGCAGCAGACGCCGGACACGAGCGAGCAGAAGGGAGGGGAGGGCAGCACGAGCCTTGCAGGAAGCTGCCAGAATCCTCCAGCACTGGCACAGGTTGCTTTGAGCTGAGTGCACCCTTTACCACTAAGATGTCCTTTTTGGAAGAGGATTTTTGTGGCACTGGCAGCAGCCCCAGGGGGAGCAGAGCCCGGCTGTGCCCCACATGGGGCAGGAGGAGGCTGGTGCTGCCCCTGGCCCGTGGGGCACTGGTGGGCTTGGCCACAGTTGTTTATCCACAGTGCAGGAGCATCTGGTGGGTGCCAGGATCCCGCCAGGTTCTGCTGCCCGCTGGGGTCCTGGTGAAGCAGCTCCTCGGATGGCAGGAAGCAGTTTGGCTGGGAGGAATCTCTGGAATCCCTCACCACCCTCCTTTGCAGGTGAGAAATGGAATCAGTGCCTGGCTTTGCTTGGCAAGGGGGGCAGGATGGGGAGTGCAGACCCCTCTGGCTGAGCCCTCACTGCCCACTGCTGCTCCTCCACGTCACAACTTAAATGGAATGCGTGTCCTGTGGATACACAGCAAAGCACAGCAAACACACAGCAGCTCCTCTTCCATCTCTAGGTAAGACAATTGTTCTTTGGGTTCTGTGTACAGCTCTCACTGGATAAAATGCCGATTCAAAAAAAAAATATATTTTTGTTCCCAAATGATAAATTAATATAAACACCAACACCACAAGTTCATGAGCAGCTTTGGGATCATGCACTGAGAGCATCACCCACAGCAGACAGACATGCACATACACACAGACCTAAATTAACTTTTCTCTAATACTGCCATTAAAAACATATATTGTGTTGGATCATTTGACTTAAATTTACTTTCCAGCATTCTGAGGTCACTTTTCAGAATGATTTTTTTTCTCTCTCACAGCCCAGGACACCTCACTCTCACCAACAAGCCACCTTTACCAGGGGCTGGGCTGTGGCTGCAGGGATGCACTGGTGCAGGAGGGATGTGGGCATGCAGCACGTGCTGGAAGTGCTTTGCCCAGGGAGGTTTAGAAGCTTCACTGCCCTGGGGCCATCACTGCTGGCAGCTCCAGCACGGCCATCCTGGCACTGGCTGGCTAAGCCAGGCTCAACAATGGCCTAGAGCAGGTTTAAAGATGAGCCTGGTCACCTCAGGCTCAGCAAACCCCATGGTCCTGAGGTGGGCCCAGCCCAGTGCCACCCCAGACCTGGCTGCAGGACCAAACAAATGGAAGATGGAGATTAACTCTTCGGGGACTCTTGGATGTGTTGGAGAGCTCTGGGAAGGGCAGGGTGGGCACCCAGGGCCGTGGTGAGCGCTTGGCACAGGATGGGGATGCCACCAGCCAACACCACACCATCCGGAGGGTGAGGGCTGGGCTGGGCTGCGCCGGTGGCGCCTCAGGGCCCGGGAGCAGCCGCGGCAGCGACGCAGGCTGGGCCCTGCTGCATGCAGCGGATGAGCTCCTTGCGGTTATCCAGGATGGTGTCGAAACTCTCCTGCAGCCGGTTCTGCTGGTCCACCACTCTCTGCTGCAGGCCGTGGATCCAGCGCAGCAGGGCCAGGCGCCGGTACATCACCAGCTGGATGTGGTGCTTCTCCTTCTCCTGCTCCTTGAAGCGCTCCTTGTCCTGGAGGTGCTGCACGGCCTCTGCCAGCGCCGGGAAGAGGCTCCCCAGCTCAGGGGGGCTCTCGGCTCGGGGGGCAGAGGCGGGAGGGTCCCAGGTGGTGCTGCAGGTGCTGTCGGGGCTGTCGATGCTGAGGGAGCTGCTGGCGTAGCCGTTGTCCTCTGCAGGGGAGCTCGGGGGCTTCGCACACCCCCTGGCTGCCTCCTCAGCAGGGCTCTGTCCCCCTGCCCCGCTGACCTCCGCTCCCTCGGGGGGGCTGCGCACCCCCTGCTCGGGGTGCGTGTCGCCCAGGCCCTGGGCGGTGTCCCTGAGCCGGCCCTGGACCATCTGTCTCTGCATTAATAACAGCAGATTATCAGACGGATTTGCGGTGTTTTCGCTCCGGCTGGAGCCCTCCTCTGCTTGGCTCCAGTTCTCGTTGCTGTCACACACCTCTCCCACGAAGTTGGAGTTGGAGTCTGGCCCATGTCCCGCCCCGGGGAGGGCCGTGCCCAGCGCTGGGCCCCCCCGGCCCTGCCGGAACGGGGCGTTTGCTGGGCAGACAGCAAACATCTCACCGCTGTCCTGCCTGCAAGAGAGACACGGAGCCGTGACAGCCTGTGGGCACCTGGGCTGGCACCACCAGAGCTCAGGGCAGCACCAGTGGGGAAAAACACGCTCACTGCTTTATTTACCTCTTTAAAGGTACTGGATCTATCATGGGGTCAGTGAGTGATCCTGGGTGTGTTTGGCTGTTGCTCTCAGCATGGCCCCATGCAACATCATGGAATCATGGAACGGATTGTGTTGAAGAGGTGTTAAAGCTCATTTAGTTCCCCCTCCTTGTCATTGGCAGGTATGCCACCCATCTAAGGGCATCTTCCCACCTGATGCAGAAGCTCAAGGAGCCACCTCCCATCCCATCCATCTTCCCTGAGAGCTCCAGTCCAAGCCCATGCTCCTGCAGCATCCCTTGGGTGATGCCAAAGGGCATCACAAGGCACAGGCACGCAGCTGCACGTGCTGCTGGCAGCATTTGGGCTGTGGCTGATGCAATTAATTCCATGCTGGTGAAGGTGTGCTTGGAAGGAGATGCTTCCCCAACAGCAATAAGTCTTTCAGCAGCTGAGACTGCCTGGGCTCCTCTGCACAACCTCTGTCACCAGCCCTGCACCAGGGTGGGGGGCTGGCCTCTGCCTGTACCCAAACTGGTGACCCCATTGTCCTTCCTTCTCTGCAGAACTGGGAGCAGACTGGCCCAGAAAGGGAATGGTTATCCAGGCGTTCCTTGCCGGGTCACTGGCAGCGAGAGGCGCTCTCCAAGCCCTCTCCTACAGGGACGCGCTCACAGCAATCGCAGGGAACGCATCGGGTGGCCCGGGCTGACCCCGGCCAGCGGCGGGGCACCAGCAGGGGGGCAGGACCCCAGCTCAGGGTGCTGCCAGAGGCCTGGAACCCCGGGACCCCCGCAGTGACATCTGCTCGGTCCAGGGCTGGGTGACACCCCCACAGAACCGCTGCACCCCACACAAGAGCCGCACCCCATCGCCGGGGCCGGGCTGCTTGCGGGGGGATGCGCGGGCAGGGTGGG